GTGCTTTTCCGAATTAATGAGAGAAAACATTGATTCTCCTGCTGCCCACGAAGGTGGAAAGTGAAGTGGGGAGACATGTGGGGAATGAGCAAGGTTCCCTGTCTGGGGGTTCCAAATCTGCTGTTGGTTTTTTTCACCACTGACTAGAGATATACAGGGTGTCCCCCCAAAATGTATACACACTTTGAATACCTACTAATTCCAATGGTTTTAAGCATAAGAAAGGAACAACAATGGAGCTGTTATCTGTTAAAAGTGTGGGCACAAACAGGTAGTTGGACATTCCCTGAGGGGTCTCAGATTGGAGAGGGTGAAGGCCAGACTGAGGGGCCCCTTCTCCCCCCCCCACCCCAGTGCACGAATTTCGTGCACCGGGCTACTAGTATATATATAAAAGAGAAGGAGCATATCCTGTGTACAGGTCAATCAAAGGTATCGGTTCAAGAAGATTCTGCAGATCTCATATTTGTACAGAAAAAATATATTAATGGGAAATAGCCAAGAAAATAAATTATTAATAGTAAACTTAGTAATTTCATTTAGAAAGTAATTATGTATTTTCTACAGTGACAATAAATACATTTACATGATACAACCTTGATAGCTGTCCATCTGTATCATAATCATTGACATCGGTACTGATTTTTATAACCCTACCATCTTACAAAATTACTGAACCTAGAACCACATTCTAATCCAGACAAAAGAATCAACTTTGATTCTCACATGTGAAACACATTGAGTTGCACAGGGAAAAGCTGTGGTACAGGTCATGGGTGACGCTAAAACTGCAGTACCTAGACACCAGAGGAAACACCACCTTGAACTAGGGAATTGAAGAATATAAAAGAAAGTGACCAGTTTTACTAATGTTAAGAGGAAAAAAAGGATATATCTCAAGATAAATAGCACTTACCATCAGTGTCAAAAAACATGCCTAGTAGGATATCATCCGGGCTTTTCCATTGCTTTTTCAAAGTATCCAGTATAAAAGCATTTTCTTCTTCATTGTGTATGCTTATCATGTCTGCTCCTGAAATCATTTTAGGTAGGAAAAAAGTCAACATCTTCCCAGAACCAATGAAAATCACATGAAGTATATAAAATTATACAGTATTGAAATACATAATTATACTTTTACATTTTTAATTTAGCTTTAAAATATGCACATCTAAAGAGCACATCATCACTCATGAGAAAAGTAAAATAATGCGATGTACATTGAGCAGAATCATTTTACTAGTATACTCTGTTTCAGTGGTTCTCAACCTTCTGGCCCTTTAAATACAGTTCCTCATGTTGTGACCCAACCATAAAATTACTTTCGTTGCTACTTCATAACTGTAATGTTGCTACTGTTATGAATCATAATGTAAATATCTGATATGCAGGATGGTCTTAGGCAACCCCTGTGAAAGGGTCGTTTGACCGCCAAAGGGGTCGCAACCCACAGGTTGAGAACCGCTGCTCTATTTCATTCACCTAGAGTTGGTAATCTCATTAACATGAAAACAAACATCATGAAGAGGCTTGAGCAGTAAAACACATTTTATGTATCTCAACTTTTCCCCACTATCCACTTTCTCTAATGATCCTGGGCCCTCCTGCCCTCATTTCACAAGTATAGAGGGGAGTAGCTCTGACCACACTCAGGATAGCTGCAAAGGAGGGCAACTTGCCTGAAGAGTCCCAAGACCTAGTCAAGTTCAAGTAACAAGCAGCGTCTCTGACCTGCCTCACTTACCTGGCCTTCATGCTCCTGCTGGCCAAAGCCGTTTCCTTCCCATATTTTCCCTGGTCATCCTTAGAACTAAGTCCTGGTGAATGACAAAGGTGGTCCTCATTCTCCCTGGGTAGTTATTGATTGATTTTTCCTGTGACTCTCACCAGGTTCCTGAGGAAGGAGCAACAGCCACACATATTTTTGTCTCACATACATTAACTTTTATATCCTTATAATCGATAAGCTACCTAGCACCCTATAGATATTAGCAGTATCGTCACTTTCCCAAGATATTTAACCTTGTTTCTTAACCCAAAGATTCTCTTGCAAATTAAAAAATAATTCCACTGTCTTAATTGGCTAATACACATAAGAAAACAGTAGTGGAGTTAGTTTCTATTGTGATAGTGTATGATTTTGCAAGATAAAACAATGAATTATGACATCGAAGCTTGTAGCATCCAGAAATCTGGTGGTGGGTGATACAACCCCTGGTAAAGATAGAAGTAACAAGGAACACCCTAACACCCTTTCAGCTGTACTCAGCTAAATGAGGAATATAACTGTTCCTAAGAAAAAAGTATTATGTTACTACTTTCACTTCTATTAAAAGAGACAACCAAGAAATTTAACTACAGAGGGAAAAGAAAACTATAGGGCCAAAAATCTACCCCCAAAGCATACCTTATAGTTAAAGAAGACAATCACAAACTGGGCAGATGAAAGCTCTATTAGGAATAAAAAATAAAAAGGCAAACACCTTAATAAAAGAAAAAATTGGTCTCAAACTGAAAAAGGCAATTCACCCTCACAAAAAGAAATATAACAACTAATATGTGGAAAATGCAATCTTACTGGTAAAGAAATGAAAACTAAAATAAGGAGATTTTCAGATTAAACAATGTTGGCCATGGGTGTAGAAAAATAGGAATTCATAAGTGGTTAGTCAGAGTAAAAATCAGTACAATCTTTTTGGAGACAATCTGGCAAGCCCTTAAAAAAGTACATATTCTCTGACCTGGTGATCCTTAACAATAGTGCAAGTTAATATTAGCTCTGTGCTCAAAGGAAAGAGGCACAATCACTAATGCTCCTCACTCGTTGCTTATGTCGCTGAGAGACTCGAAAAATTAACCATTATTAGAGGGTTAAGTCAGCTATGGCATATCTAAACAGTGGGGAAATGTTCAGTTATTAGTAAATATACTAATACTTCAGTACTTCATTGACACTTCCAAAAATACTGAATATTGAAAACTTCCTAAGCAAATACTCTCAAGGTTTTATTATTATTATTTGCATAACTAATTCACTTCATTGTACTGATGGGGTGGT